CCCCCCCCACCTGGCTCGCCCGCCCCGGCCCTTCCCAGGTGCTGAGGTGGCGCCGCGGACGGGCCCGGCGGTGGGTCCGGCCTGGCTGAGGGCAGAGCGCCGCCCTGCGCCGGGTGCTCGACGCCGGGCCGGATCCTGGGCTTCGTCTCCGGCAGAGCTGCACCTATGCCCGCCCCGTGGGGGGGTCTGCCGCACAGACTGGACTGGGACCTTCGCTGTCACGTCTGTGCCTCCAGCCCCGACTGGACCCTCTCTGCCGTCCGGGGCGCTGGCGGACGTCCGGGTGCCCTGGCTCCCACGCTGCGACCCACGGGCAGGCCGCTTTGGGCACGCAGCGCTTCCCGCCACGCAGGGGGACACGGGCATCGTCTTGCCGTGAGCGCAATAGCGATGGATGCTGGTGAAGTCCCAGCACCAGTCTGGCGTCCGAACAGGCAGCGAGAGGGGATTTAAAAGCAAAGCATCACTTGGTTTCGGTCCCTGCTGTCACATGGCTGGTTGTGGAACATCGGCTGCACTCCCCTTACTTTGTTAGTGATGTCCAGCTGCCAGTGCAGGGTTAAGAGCGAAGTCGGATGTTTTCAGGGATTTGCAGGGGCTTAGAGAGGAGCCATGCTGCAGTCTCCTTGCAAAGCTGGGAGAACAGATCTACCTATGAAGCTGTCTGCCATGCAAATGCTGTGTTACATTTCAGTAGCGACTAGTGTCGAGAGGTTGAAGTGAGCCTACGATTGTGAAACTGCTCTGTGACTAAACTCCAGTTGTTCAAGGTGTTGAACTTGTTTCTAGTTCTTTACGGCTTCTGAAAATTAGAAGCCAGTTTGTGTAAACTCTTGCGACAGAGTAGAGTCGCTCTTCTGACCATTTGCATCTCAGCTCGGGTCCGTGGTGGGGATAGACTCACTGCTGGTCCAGTCCTTGGCTGTTGTCCATGGAGCAAAGGACATGGACAAATGCATGTTGTAGCTGCTGTAAGAAGAGAGTGGGCAGCTGCTGTTAGAGAGTCAGTTAGGTCTCAAGAGCCTGTAGCAATATAAGTGAGCTCAGTCGCCCTGATTTTGATGCTGGAGGAATCGGGATTAAATGTCTTGCAGGTGCTGCGGATGCTGCTGTCACAGTTCCTGCAGGTCAGCCACAGCATTTGGCACTTCAGACAGATGATGGGTCAGCACAGGGCCGTGCTCTTTGTTCCTGGGGAATGCACAAACCCAGGCGTTTGTGTGGAGATAGCTTTACATGCCTGCTCGTAGGAAGGAGCTTTACTCACCTGTGTGACGGCCTCAGAGCCTTCCTGCAGCTCTGACTCAGTGCTGTGGAAATCTGTGTGACTCTTGCAGGCAAAGTGGTTGGGAATTTATGATGAAGACAGTTAGGGAGAATTTTGGTGACTTTTAACTGTGTGCTAAAACATAAAAGGAGTTTTGCTTTCTGACTTTGCTCATCAGCTTCTG